TCGATATCATTCCGAACTGAGCGACTTCAAAAACTTTTATTATTATCAGACGACTTACGGTAGATTTGACATATCATAAGAGTCTGTAATAGACCTACATGAATAAAGATATTTTGAATTTGAATTTGAATTTGAATTACAATGTATTTTATTTCGCAGTTTGTTTTAATACAATCAAACAGGTCTTAATATTTAGATAAACAATGAAGTGCTGAACATAGAAATATATCAGACATCTAATACAGACAAAATGAAGAATATTGAATATAGATAAAATAATATGTATAACTAAAACAGTCTGACTTATTCTAATATTTCAAAATAACATATTAAGAGTTGGTTAAGACATAGAACTTTGCACAAAGGGAAGTTTAATTGTTTGGCATGGTTTATTGCCCCAAGGGAGGCTTCTGGCAGTGATGGTTTTATACCTTTGGTTTTAAATGTGAAAGGCGAACCTCAAACTAACATGAGGAATATAAAATAAGTAGACAAGACAGGTCCACCATGATGAAGATGATGTGTGAAGAATACTATAATTGTTATAGTCATGTAGATAAAAGGTAGTTCCTTCAACCGATTTAAAAAATAAGAGGTTTTCAATTTGATTGTATTTTCTTTTTATGGGGGATATCTCGGAACTCTTTTAATGTATTTTCAGTATAATTTTTCATTTGAAACCCAGTGTTTATTATGGTTCAGTGTTCATTTGATCAAATATCCAGTAGTTTTCAAATTAATCATAAGGCAGCGATTGGAGTCGGTTTATCGTGGCCTGATCATTATTATAATTATAAACATTTATAATTATATTAAATAGATATTTGCAGTAATCAGAAACAAGAATAGTAATTTACTTACATTACATTTATATTTTACCCAACATTTTTTTTTTATTACACAGGGGACAAACGAGCATGTGGCTCACCTGATGGTAAGTGATTACCGCCGCCCATGAGCCCCGCAACACCAGGGGAATTGCAAGTACGTTGTCGGCCTTTTAATAAGGAATAAGCTTTTTTCTTGAAGGTTTCAATATCGTATCGGTTCGGAAATGCCATTGCTGGAAGGTGTTTCCACAATGTGGTTGTGCGTGGCAAAAGGTTTATAAAAAACCGCACTGTAGAGGACCGCCATTCATCCAGATGGTATTTTAGTTTCTGGCTGATAGTACGGTGGTGAAACTCAGCGGTTGGTATTAATTCGAACAATTCCTCAGAATACTCCCCGTGATATATATATAGAGATGCAATATCTCGCCGCAAAGCCTATGGGTTGAGTCTGTTACATAGACATTGATCACCAATGATTCAGGCTGCTTGGTTCTGAATGCGGTCAAATGGAAGTATCTGGTTTGGGGAGCTCCCTCCCAGAGAGAACAGTATTCCATATGCGGCCGGATTTGCGCCTTGTATACTACAAACGGTGAGCCGCCGTGAAATACCGTCTCATTCTACTGAGCAAACCAAGCTTTTTTGAGGCCTTGTCCTCCAAATGACCGCAAAACTGAACGTCACTGGATATATCTTCGAGATTTGGCTTCACATCAAGGAGAGTGTCTTCAAACTGAGGAGACATTATAATATTTATGACAATTACAGTTGAAATGAAATTGAAAGCACTAACATAAGTATTTGTATCTGTATCTATGAGTATAGACAATACCAAGAATATATTATTTCGATTCATCAATTCAAAGTTAACAAACTTTGTTTACATTTTCTGAGATGTAATTAACGAGAAACTTTGAAGTACAACAATAAAAGACATCGTTTTTCTTAATAATACATATATTATAAGTTCAATTTAATATCTATAAATTATATCCTACTAATCTTGTGGAGTGTATTATAATACCATACCTTTTGAGGACGATTATAGAATATTGTAGACTATGGATACTTTCATGAAATTTTATTAAAATTTACTATACCATTAAAAATTTGTGGAACTGTAAATTAGACTTTATGATTATGGTAGCTTGACATACATTGCAGCTAATTTGATTTAGTTTCAAATGAGCGTGACCTAGATTGAAACGTGACGAGCTAACGACTATACTACGCTATTTCATACAAAATGTATTATAGACATATCACAGTAATTAGGTATTGCTGATATTGTAGTAATTTCTAGAATACAGACTATATTTTAGGATCTATATGGACATTTGGCGAAACAGAACATTTAGCTAGATTTACGATGTTATTTAGCTGCACTAGCGACTTCATCCGCTCATCAAATTAACGAAGACCTCTACAATCCATGCGATTTGATACAATAGAGGCATCAAGCTGCATTAAGTGAATTATTTGAACATTTATGATCTAATGAGGACATAAATGTAATAAAATTTATTTTCAATTTGCTCTTTCATGGATTAGACGTTTAGTTGATAGTCGAACTTCAAAAAGCAAAAAAGTATCTAAAATAGGGCCAATTATGTATTTATATTAATTAAATAAAAATATATAAGTAAACTATACAGGTTATATAGCTATTTAGCATACGGCTTTACTTCGAACTGTCGCGGATTTAATTCCTTGCATGGTTCAAATATTTTATTTCCACGATGTACATATATTATGCATTAATTAAAAAAAGATGTAGTAAGTGTATCAGTTGTCTAGTACTTTTAACATAAACTCTGATAACTTGGGACTAAATTGCACTGTGTGGATTACCAAGAGTTATTATTGTTATTATTATATATATGTACACCCAGTTTAAAAAATATTCTGTATAGACATTAGCTGACCCTACCATTTATATCTAGGGATAATACCAAAATGTATAACAACAGCCCTGAGTATCCGAGTTACAGAGTAGGTAATTATCTCTCCTAAGGGACCGGTGTTAAAGTACTTCTCTATTTTTAATATCCTGATAGTATGCCGGGTCTAGTATAAATACCATACACACGGTGCCTTCCGGCGAGCGGCTGGAATTTTCTGAGAGAAAATTTCTTACAATATGCAGACGGCCTTTAATATTATATAGCTCTTATTCGCTATATGTATATAGACATCGTGCTGCCTTCCTGGATCCATAGTTAAACAAGGACATGGAATAGTTGAAACACAAAGATATCTCCGATGAACAAATGTGTTGTATTTTTTCGTATTTGAATTTTACGTTGTTGATATTCTAATCTGTTATGTTACATTTTTAGACATCGTCTATGAAAACGTATATTATTCATGTGAAAAATGAGATAAGTACAACTATAAACATGTCCTACCTAATATTTAGTCATATTTGTAAAAAGGAAAGTGATGTATGATGTGAAGTGGCTTAATCTTTCGTTATAAACTTCGATCGGTCGACACTTGATTTTGAAATGGATGTCTTAATAAGTACTACTACCATTTTTATTTTATTTTATTTGTTTAATTAAATTCGGATTACATCCATATTTTTATGGTACAACTAAAATATTTATCAAAAATATGATCAAGAAGTTATGTCATAAAATATTTTTCTTTTATTATAAGGTATTTATTATTCTTCGATTCTACTACAAAGTAGAAAACAATAACAGGTATAGTAGGGAAATAAAACGGAAAGTGTCCTTGTTGGACACTTTCAGTTTTATTTACAATAAACCTGACATTATGTGATAGCATATTAGTCAGGCTAAACCTGTCAGCTGGTATTAGCCTACTAGATAGTTTATAAAAGAATATGAAAAATTAAACGCTTTTTTCAAGTTTTAAATTCTATTGTGTTAATCTGTTTGTGTTTTGTCTCTTTAGCCAACTATTACGACCCACGTATTAATAAGTGGTAGCTGTCGTGTATATTTATATAAGAGTATTTACACTTCATTGTCATTTAATGTAATTTTAACCCTCATTCGTTGCTATCTTGGGGAATCAACGTGTCATGTCTGAAGATGACTTTATTCAAAGTCTACCCGTACAAAGTCTATCTTACGCCGTCCCACGTCTTATATACACAAAATACATTATAATTTATTTCACAACCGACGAATACATAAACTGCGTCAGCTTATCTTTATCTTATCTTTTCTAATTTATATAATACAGGTTGTAATAGGATATAATAAAATATAGTTTCTAAATAAATTGTAAATAAATAACTTCGTAGCTGATTCTTTGCATGCAATTGTCACTGCAAATAGAATTCTGATAGCAACAAAATGTACACTCAGTAAGGTTACTGCAGTAGGATATTTAATTATACTGCAGAATCAATTTGGTTTATATTTCGTGTTTGTTATAATTTTACCTTTATATTAGGCATTAAATATATAATTTTAATAAAATATATTTATACCTTTACCCACAATTTTGTTTTCGTGAAAGGTACAAATTTTGTGGACTAAAAATTATCTTATACTATTTATCACATATAAAGTAATTTAGACATATATATATATATATAATAGTATAATATTGTGTATAACACATGTATAAATTGATACTAACAAGATTAAAAAAGACTATGCACTTTTTCATTTTCATGAGCTTTGAGTAAATATGTGATATTGCTATTAAAAATGGAATAATTCTCAAGTGAGCACATTTATAAATATACAGTATTATTTTAATAACATTGTAAATTAAATTTACTTAGATTAACTTTAAAGGAATTTAGGGAGTAGTTCTAAAGTCTAAAAATAAATAATAATCATTGAAAACTTCAGAGACAAGAAGATACCTAACAATTATTAGTTTAGGTTTTGAAGTCTCGACAATTTTAAAAAGTTTCTGATCTATTCATTACTAGCTGTGCCCGTGGTTTCACCCGCGTGATATTTATAGTCTATGTATTATTCTGATGTAGGTATAAGCTATATTACTGTAAAAAATCCATTCAGTACTTTTGTTAATGTTGTTGCACGCTATCTTAGGATATGTTATTTCAAGTTAGTTTTTTTCAAATAGAAACAGACTTCGATGTTTTTGGAATTAGAGTATATTATATAATACATAATGTTATATTCTTATTATAAATGTATATGCAGGAAAACTTACCGCTCTATCAGCTAGGTTCCGTACACGACAATGAAGGTACGCGGGCTGGCCCACGGCGGCGGTGGCCTCGCGCTTCGTGCTGTTGTCGAAGTACGGTTGCCCCAAGGGCTCCCAGCCCCCGCCGCCAGCTGTCACACCTGAACCACAAACAGAACTATGTATACAAGGGCGGAAAGGTTATATTTACTCGAATTTAAATATATAAAAATCCCAAAAGGAAAGCTACAAGATGTTACGGCATGGCCTATGATAGCTGTGTATAGTATGAATTGTGCATTTATATTTGTGTAGGTCTAACATTAGCTAGTTATTTAGGTGCTGTATAGTATTTATGTTTTTGAAGCTTGAAATAAAAATAATACGAAACTGCCGGGCAGTCTATGTCTCCTACCTGCGGCAATGAAAATCTATGCATCCATAAACGTTGCCGGAAGCTAGAGATGGACTTTGTACGAATTTCTTTGGTTGGGTATTTCTATTTCTATTGAGTAAAATGTATATGCATCAAGACTAGAGCTCTCACTGTTCACTGCAAATTATATAAACACATGGAAAACTTAAGCCTGCAAAATATATTTTTTAACTTAAACTTATAATCTTGTACGCCTAAATATGGGTTTTTTCTTGGCACTAAGATCTACATATGTGTATGAATAGATTAAAAATAAATAACAATAATAATATAAAAACTGATATTATAAAACACATTTGTAAGCGTTTATTTATAAATGGATGTTAATTTCGGCAACCTACAAAACTTTATTATTTAGTCCGAATAATAAAACGAATACAGATTATGCAATAACTATTACTGGTATGATTTAAGAGTTATTTTAGAGATATACTCGTACCTATAGCTCAAAATTATTAAATTATACTTTATTTATAATATCAAGGCCATATAATATGAAATATGTATTTAGCTATCATAAGTTTCCGTTATAGCACTAAGTAAGTCGAATTTCCTTGTCAATTTTCTCCATATTATAATAAAATATATTACTAAAGTAAATTTGGAAATTTGGCACGTGCTAGTGAAGTCGTATCAAGGACAAACTAAATGTGACGTGTTCAATTGGTAACCATGTTGACAGGTAAGTCTTTGGTATTCATCCATACTTTCCATACTGTTATTATAACTGCTCAAGAATATCTGTCAGTCAATATACTTGTTTATCTATCTAACTGTTTGTCTGTCTGTTATTACTTTTTTATGACCAATAATAATCTGAAAGGATCTCAATGAAATTTAATAACAAAATAGACTGTATCACGAGACCGGATATTGGCTTTGCCTAACTTTGGCAATCCAAAAAAAAAAGTTACATAGTTGCGGGTTACAACTACTTTGTGGAATATGCGAGCACCCTAGCCTTTTGATCAAAATCAAGCGGCACATACAAATTGTATATTACGCTTGATTTTGGACATATTTTTGGGTTGCTTTGTGAACATATAATGTCTACCTTTAAAATTCATCCTACTCAGCTACATTTTCACCGTTGTGTTGAATGCAACAGCTGAATCCATGTTTTCGACATAGTTATCGGCGAATTTGAATCGAAATATCTATAATTTATAATATCAATATTTTTTAAACTAACGACTGATCTCAATTTTGTACGGTTATATGAAACAGAGGTATGGATGTATTACGAATGTTAGATACATAACTTCCGCAAGAAAAAGGAACGAGTGCTGCTTGTACGGACTGGGCTGCTCGAATCTTATTTAGTTACTTAGCCAGTTCATTATGTATTTAATATTTTGACTCTAATGAATTCGAGCTAGTAGTTTTAATCGTAAATATTAGATACTGTGTACATTCAGGCCTAACACGGTACGTTCTTCATATTACATCTAGGTTTACGTATTATAATTTCCCGATAGCTGTACGAAATTATATAATTTCTATCATTATGTTGGTTTTGGCAGATTTGGAGAAGTTTGTGTTCCATTCGATAGAGGATTTGATACGGGTTTGTTAGGTGATGACGGACAAGCAACCTATCTGTCTTTAACACAATCTTCAATAATAATAGTTTCTTCAATAATAGGTTTTCACAGTCTTGAAAGTCCGGATACATTAGGGTAGAATTGGGTTGGAACTAAAACATGAAAATTTTTCAATGTCAAATTCAATAACCATTATATATGTAGATAATTCTTCTGTACGTGTATTTTTCACCACAACTCTTAATCTAGTATTCATATTTCTATATAAATATGATTTAGGATTTAAACAAGATTTAATCCATATCGATAATTATATGAACAAAACGGATGGTTTATTCATTTAATAGTAATAAGTGTGCGAATTGGTTAGAAACAATGTATAAAAATATTATTAACTATACGTTAGTTAGTAGGTGCAAGGAAGATCGGTTAAGGAATATGAAACTGTTATATAATGGAAGTGCTAGTACTAGCTACTAGTAGAGACCTAGCTATAATAGCATCCAATGAGCTGACGGAGCTTTCTCTCATAGACATTTGTATATTTGACAAGTGTGACAGAGTAACAAACTAAGTTACGTAGGTAAGTAAGTACATATAAAGTAGAATATGTATTTCATTAAATTTCTATATTATAGTTACCTATCTACCGTTAAATGGTTGTACAAAGGTAATTTAGTATTGTAATAATGCTGTAATTAACATAAATGAAAATTAGGATTATATTAGTGATATAGTCTAATATCTCCCTCGGTCTTGTTACTAGATTAGAGTTCTATCGCCGCAAAGCAATGGTTATTGGCAATTAATTTACAACACATGTGGAGATCGTTAATGTAAATTAGTGTAAAATTATTGTCGTAATCTTCCTTGTTATGTTCAGATACGTAATTATTATTAAGTTTATTAACAACTAACGTCATATTACTTTACAGATGTCTGAGATATATGTTCTTCAATTATATTAGAATAATTTCAGTCTACATTAAGTTAATACAAACAACATTTACAATTAATTATGTGTACAAAAACTGTCCTGTCTTGTCGTTTGAGTACTATATGTATAAGAAGAGCAATTTAACATGTCTGTTTACTTTACTTTTGATAAAGATACTAACGAACTTTACCTTTTGTAGACACAACACAGATGAAGTTATATTTATTAAGTAAGTAGAAATTACACTTGAAAGTCTACGAAACTTATAATATTAAGTTGGATAATATAACATATATGTATCTGTATAAAATAAATAACATATATGAAATGCGATTCAAATTCTTAAAACTAAAAAGTTTAATTGTATTGATTCTAGGCATATTCATATAATTTTATTCCCGAAAATTATGATAAAGGATGACATAGCAAAATTGATGATGAGAAAAAAATCCGAATCATCACTACGGCTGCCGAAACACACCGAAAGTTCCCGAGTTCAGCTAACATCAACCGATCCTTTTCAGCGATAAAAACGTGCTTTGTTTTCCGTCACGTCGCGTTATTTTTTATTCCCCCACTTTTTTGAACATTAACCGAGGTTTTTGTAAATATTTCATTATGTAGTCATTCTATTGAAAAAGAAAATTCTGTTGTTATAAAGATAAAAGGGTTTCATTTGTTTGAATTGGAAACCAAATTGCGTTTAGGTCATGGCTGCCTTATTTATTGTTCATCTGAAAACAAACAATGTGGATTTCGTGTGAATAATCTACACCCATTGTAATGTTAACGACATCGTGATACGTGCTTAACTGTAGCACGGTCATATGGAAAACAGAACATGGAGGAAGTGTAGATTTAATTTAGATATTGCTTTCGGACACAAATTTAAATAAAATATTGTACTTAACAAAATCTTCTTCAACGTACAAGTTTATTTGCCTTTTATTACATCTGTATCGTCTTAATAATTGTAAATAGAGTAGTATTTGCCATTTGTGTGAAAAAAAGTCAATAGATTCAGAATTCCTATAAGTATTGTGTAATGTACTTTCATATTAAATATACCTTTAAAAACATACTGATTTTTACAGTATATTGAAAAAAAGTAAAGTTTTGTCAGGGTCGGTACAGCGCCCGTGACCCTCTCTTTCAGGGGTCTAGAGGATGCAGTAACCGTTTACAATGACGATAGACCGTATGCTTGTTTACTACCATCGTGTTATAAAAAATTTAGGTACAATTCAGTTTATGAATATCAAGGTATATACATCGATCGATGTTGATAAGATATAAATTCTATCAAAATATCTAATAGTATTCTTGATTATATATCAACCAATCACGATATATAACAAAATAGGATAATATAGAAAAAAAAAATAAGAAGAATATACCACATATGGTTAATTGTGCCGAAGACTTGCATCTTAGGCCTACTGATGCAGGTGCCGATTTAAAACAACCAAAGTCATGCTAAACAATGATATAGATACAGCACATTAAAGTGTACATATATAGATACATAGACAAAAGTCTTTACACTTATTAGTAGGTTGTGTACTACTTGAGGGAGGAGTCAAAAGTCATCGAAAATCGCGTGTAGCAGTAATCAGACGAGATCGGAAAATTAATGAACTAATATTCTATATAAGGATAGCACTTCAGTGCCACAATTCTGTCTACCTGCCTGCCTGCCTGGTAATATAAATATATAAAAAGTTTAGTAAGCATTTGCATATGTCGGCTTATTTGAACATTAACAAAAGGATTAACACATGATATGCCGTGTTTGTGTTATGTAGGTAAATTATTTTGCGACTGTAGTCTACAGATATATATGTATACGGATATTAACCTTTAGAAGCTCTATTAAGCCATTGAACTCATAGGATGTTAGGTGATATTTTTAAGTAATGAATATTTCATATCCTACTTCAGAACTTTACCTTAACTATACTAAAATGTATATTATTTTTAACATATATTAATTTTTACATTATTATTTTGTAACTTTCGTATTACTTATTTCAAAGGCATAAAATAGAACATTATTATATTATTATATAAATTATATTTTCCAATACATTGTAAGCGGCGTCTATGAACACAGACAAATACAGACATCGCTACATACAGGAAAAAGAAAACTGATATATAACACGGCATGGTAGACTAAATCCGAGGAGGATTATGACAAGAGATCAGTGAATACAGTGAATGATTAACGGTTGTTATGTATGATGATAAAGATTATAGTGGTTTTATTAAGAAAATAGAGCACATAGTTTACAAAGCGGTAGAGAATTTCTATTTCTAATGTCAAGTTTTTGAAATAACTTAATATACATATAAATTAAACTTCAGAAAATGAGAATATCAGTTTCACTTATACTCGTACTCGTACATTTGTACTTTAGAAACTGAATTCTAGCAGGTGTATGGAATTTTCTGGTAGGCAATTTCTAATAGATATGTAGTGTTTAAACCAAACATTCAATATAGTAGGTTCGTCGGTATGACTAGCCCAAAACTTTGATATTTACTTACTACTTACTTACGTATATACTGTCAATTCGACATTAGAAAAGGTAAGCATATGTTACAAGAAGTTTTAGAACTATTCAAGACAAGAATATTTATTACTTTATGTTATATGTAACAATATACCCATAGTGGTATAGTTAATTGGATATTTGATGCTAACGAATGCCGGCGATTTTGTCCACGTCTTTATTTCCCTGGGCTACGTTCGCGCATCAATTTCCACATCCAACTGATATGTGTTATCAATCACTATCCTCGCTTTAATTGGCGCTGCTTAGTACGGAAATATCAAACTATAAATTTGGATTTAAGCAAGTATTTGAATTGTTGAACATCATATGAGTTGGACAATTTAATAATATATAAACAATAGTGAACAAATGAAAAACTCTTTGTTGTTTATTTCAATGGAAGATACTGTTTGTATGAAATACTACGTAGTTAAAGTAAGATTACAGCATTATAAGAGCCAAGACAAAAATATAACAAAAAGTGGACTTGAAATATTAACTTCATACTTTTATTCAAGTCGATTTGAAATATGGAAAATAGTTTTGAAAACAAAACTATTTTCCATATATGTATTAATTTTAATCTTGTTTGCATGGAGGTACACTGCAATGCACATTAGTTTTATGAATTTATGCTTATGTCTTATCTTTTAAAATCTTTTAAAGTGTTTTAAATTGTACAGAATAATAATTTGTGGAAATACACAAATGTTTTATAAAATCAGTATGAATTCATAGTTCTGCGTATAAGATATTTACATGCAGAACTATGAATTCATACTGAATTGTATTGTATCATTTGTATTACAAAAAAATAAGATAAAAATTAAATAACACTTACCGAATAATATGAAAAAACAGCTCAGCTCCGCCGCCCACATTGTGTCCTTATGTCTTTTCACATGCTGTTCAATCAACACTACACTACACAAATACCCCAATTATACTTGACCCCACTTATCATTTAGTGATAACAATGCCCTAGATGTACCATTTTATCCTGTCTTCTCTGTTGTTCTTGCTCTCGTTAATTATTGAATAATCTGAAAGAGATAAAAAATATATTTATTGGTATGGCCTGTTCTTCAAATATCTAATACATAGTTGAATGTGCTATGCATAATAATATATGAGAAACATTAGTGTTTTGTATCTGTAATTAGTCATCAAGCACGGATTACTGTATTTTAATCTATACATATACTAATATTGCAGAAGCAAAAGTTACGTCTGTCGGCCTAAACGCAAGAGGATATAGGCTTTGTTTTAACTCTAATAGAGCAGACAAAACTGCGGGTAAGAGTTATATTATATTTCGTGTAAAATAATAAATTTTAAATAATAATATATTTACATATAAAATGGACTAAATGCACAGATAGTTGCGTCCATTAATTAATTTTATATTGGGTAAAATAATTAGTAATTTTTAATCCATCTAATGTAAGTCTTTAATACCTACCAACCTCATTTCCTACGCACTGTTTCGTCCCTAACACATATACCTACTGTAAAAGGGTATTACAAAATTATCAACAAAATACGAAAATAATTTCGTAACCTTTCCTAGAAGACTGTTGACTTACAAGGAAACATTTAAAAATTACTTTCCTATTTCTACCCACTTTACATAAGGAAAGTTGCTCAATTTTCTGAACATTATCCAGCGATTTCGGTATGTTTTACACTTTTGTATATTATCATTAGACGCCTCTTCCGATAAACCTTTTATATTATACAAGTAAATTAATTAGAATTTTACTACAATATTTACTTAATTATTGGTTCTTTGTTTTAAAGAGATAAATTTATTTTTTTGTTTTATGTAAGTAACTCATTTTAAGTTTTATAACTTTGTTCTTGGATTTGTTGATTTATAAAACTTCATTATTTTCCGTTATCAATGCCATGACAATATATGATTGATAATTACATTTTTCTATTGTTACTTTTGCCAACTTCATATGTGTTACTTACTATTATTATAAATGCGAATGGATGTTTTACGGTTTGTTACCTTTGTTATATTTATACAATTAAATAGGAAAAATTCAATGAAATTCGAAGTGCAGATAGACAATGAGGAAAGCCATAGAGTATCTTTTAACTATGCATATGGACTGCATATCTGATAATAAACAGTTACGTCGCTGGCCAGTGCTATCTAAATTTATTAGTCTGTAAAAATGGAGATTAGAAGCACATTTATCTTGTATTTATAAATTAATCATTAAACCGCCTATTGATAGTGTAATATACCGCTAATATTTTTTGTTTTCCATCAGTTGAACTTACTAATAAAGTGCTGATTAATAATATAATTAATAGTTACATCAGTGCATAACTAAACTTCCTAATATTGTTTTGTTTCATTTATCTACCGGCGAACCTTTTCAAGTATAGATACGTAACTTTGGATCGATTTAGATTTAAACTAGTTCCGGTGATGAATTCCTGGAATAATATGAAAAGGTTGAACACGTAATAACTTTGCATAGTAATTATTCCGTGCCTTTATTGGTTTCGTAGGCTTGGGCGACGAGTAGGTAGCTGTCTACAATTATTCAAAAACATGTCTTGTAGACATAACCTATTTCTGAAATGTTAATTAAAAAATCACACCTACTAGCTTTATTAACTTCCTAGAACCATTGAGATATTATATACAGTTATAGAGAATACTTTAAATAGACGACGTCATATAGTTATGTTGACAATAAAGAATTTTTAATCTATTTTATCTCTTATTGCAAGAAATAGCACCATTAATTATTAAATAATGTTTTTATTGTTGTAGGCAGCATAGCAAACTTGTAATTGCGCCAATAGGGCAATATCGGACATATACATAATCTCCTCTATTAAGATACATATCAACATCTACAACATATATTATTGCATACATGGAATTTTTTTGAAGTGTTATACCGAAAGTACATAATTATTTGTACTTTTTCATAATATTTTTTGCAAAATTCATAAAAAAGATAAACGTGTAGACTGATTGAAATGAAACAATACACAAACGTAACTACTAGTATAACAATTACTAACGTAAAATATCTGCCTTTTCCTTTTTTCATATTGAAGAACATGTTATCTGATTATCCCTACATGAAATGTATATTTAGGTAGCTATAAAATATAAATTTTAATTATATTTAATGAATATATGTTAAAAGAAAAGCGTAATAGAAAACCAAAAATTAAAATGACTCAATGTTATCAACAAGAACTTAAGCATCTGCGGCCTTAATAAAAACGACGGTCATGATAGAGCGAAATGGAAGACATTAATAAGGAGAACTGAGCCTGTTACAAGGCTGGTTAATCGCTGAGAAGATGATGATTTAAAGGCGTCATTCATATACCGATGGGGGGCGAGTAAAACAGGCACGATATCTTCATAGTATAAAGTAACATATGATTTAAAATACGTACACATGCTACGTACTTACTCTCATGAACCAAAGCTGTCATTATTATTATTTTAAAACACATTCTAAATAATAGCTTCTTTTAAAATTGATTTATTTATTATAGGAGACCAGGCCCATGCTATATCTTATATATAAAATTCTCGTGTTAGTTATCTTTATATTTATATATTTAGTTATATACTCCTCCGAAATGCTTAACCGATTTTTTATTTTGGACAAACTTTATTTTTTTTATATTCTAAATAAATTTTCACCCTTCTATTATCAACCCCTATTTTAATCGCGATTTTAATTTAAAAGGCAAAATAACATTGCGGCGTCAGCCAGTATGTTATATTTTGAAACAATTTATAAAATAAACTAAGCCACTGACAGACTTTCACAAACAATATCTTTTAGTCATTTTAATAGATTTTACAATCACTCAATCGCTAATCCGCCTAGTCATCATTTAAGGGGAACGTTTTATAACCTGGAAGTCCAGCTACTCTTGGCTTCCAAACCTGGAGGTTCGTATATGGCGGAAGATATTAAGGAAGACTAGCAATGGATAAGTACAGGTCAATGATGTTGACAGAACAAGTACAGGGTGGCCCAGAAGTCACATTACATTTTGAAAATTAAATAACTTTTTTTCTATTAATATAATTCTTTTTCTCTTTTCAAAATTAAAAAATATAATTCCTGGAAATTTTTATCATGGATAAGTTTACAACAGAACAAGGAGTGAAGATAATTGAATTTTACTATGAAAATGGATGGTCAATTGTTGCAACGCAAAGATCCTATATGCGTTATTTTAATGTTCGACATCCCCCTAGTAGGCCTGCAGTAAGATTGCACTAATTGAACCTTGTAAGGGTACATGTGCAAGTCTCTTTGAATGCGCTGCAGAGAACTCCGTGAGATGCCAAGTTCTTGACAACGCCTTCGAGTGGATGTGGTTGGGTTCTCTTCAATGCTACGGCTCACAGCTTCAGTACTTTCACGTGTACGTACTGAAAGACCTCGTCCACTTCTAGTCCTATCACTTACAGAGCCATGCTGTTGAAAACGCTTCACCAAGTTCCTTATTGCAGACCTACTAGGGGGATGTCGAACATTAAAATGGCGCATATACGATCTTTGCGTTGCAACAATTGACCATCCATTTTCAAAGTAAAATTCAATTATCTTCACGTTCTGTTGTAAACTTATCCATGATAAAAATTTCCAGGGATTATATTTTTTAATTCTGAAAAGAGAAAAAGAAATATATTAATAAAACAAAATTATTTAATTTTCAAAATGTAAAGTGACTTCTGGGCCACCCTGTGTTTGAATGATTACCGGTTATTCTGCTTAAGTGTTATGTATAGATAAAATATAACATATCGAAGCGAACAATAGAAGTGGGTGATTTATTGACATTTTTTACAATTTCTGATTGGATACCAAAAAAGTATAAAATTAGTTTTTTTATTATATTATCAACTGTAGGTATAGGGTATAAAACACTATATTCTGAGTAGATATATAAACTGTCTTCAACTTTCGAGATGTAGTCCAGTGACCACCTGAGAAGAGTAATTTGATTGTAATTTTTATTTGTGAAATCAATCACATAAATATAGGTTATATTTGTCAATTTAATAATTTTATTATATGTTGTCGTGTGGTTTTTTATGGTGACAAAGGACGAATATTACCACCAAATTGTTCCATCCCTAAGATATCAGAAGCGTTATTACGTCATTTTATTTTAGATGATTAATTTAATTTTAGACATAACTAATTTCAAATCCAATTTATTCTTATTACCAAACTTTCATAAACGAAACGCGACGCCTACTCAAGTCTTCGCAAGGAATTAGAATTGTCACTATAAATATCCATTAAAACAAGCATTTTGATACTCAAAACTTTGAAATACTGTCAGATTAATTTTACAACTCAATAGCATTGTTTTGCCACGTAAACAAATGATATTCGATAGAGCTGCCTTTCTATTATTAGTGTTCTGTTATAATTTATGTAATTTCAATTAATTTAAGATTATAAAATAAGACATAATGTGGCAAATCAAAATACTATTTTCTATATCAATTGAATACTCTTGGTATAGAGTTTTTAAATATATATTTTCTCCAATTCTAAACAAATATCTAAAGTTCAAACTAAACTCTATTAATTGAAAAAGACTTGAAGATTCTTTTCAATTAATATAGTTCGATAATCGTGATTGTTGCATATAAATTATGACACATATTTTATACCAATATTAAGACTTTGAATGTCAACTGTGTAATCTTCATCTACATATTTTAAATACAATTAAATATATTTAACCATCAAATCTTTTTTGAAACCGGAATATATGAAAAAGGTATTTATTTCTGTTCAAATCATTTAATTTATAAAGTAACTAGTTTTAAATAAAGCAAATAAAAGTAAGTAGTGCTAAAGATTATATCGCTATGCAATTAACTCTAGAAACCTATTCAGGACATTATTGGAGTTAAGAGAAAATTATTAACGAGTAATAAATACAAAGAAATAATTTTTCAGTTATAAAGACGAAGCT